CCCCCGGGCCGTAGTTTGGACACCCCTGGTCTAAATGATGGAACAATATCTTTAAAAAGGCAAATCATTATTTTAAGTAGTAAATCTGCCACAGTTATCATGTAGCTGTTAACTGCATATGTAAAATGCAAATAGGGGGCAGGATAAAGAAATAAATCCTAAAAACTGAGTTTGAATGTTAATTCATCAGCAGTGATTCATAAAAAGTCATTTATTTTCTGTTTCATTTGACTCCACATTAAAACTTGCCCCAAATTCATTATTCACAAGGCTTATTCCTGGCAGCGAATTGCTGTCATGCACAACACACTCCATCAAAGCAGTCCTTAACTCCCCAATGAAACACCCCTGAGTATTAACACCACTAAATCAAAAATAACTTAAACCCAGGGCTTCAATAACATTTCTGCTCCAACAGCTTCCATGCTGTGATGGCTATAATTATTTGTCTAGCCATAAATATGCCCTCTGGTAATAAATGTCCTTCCGATAAAAATCCAGTTGAAAATCAGGAATAGCGCACCAATTCGATCTTGTTTTTTCTTGATTTATCATTTGTGTGCAATATTGGATACGTCAGTTTGAGTAATGGCGAGGCTAAGTGGGAACAAATATAAATACATGGTGCCTGAAGGAGACACAAAGATCACAGATGCTGGACTGCTTGCCCCGTCACTGACCTTGATGGGAGGTTTTCGAGTGATGTGAGAAACCAGGAAGTTCATGGCGATGTCTTCACAGTTGATGTACTCGTCCACCATGTCCCTGATAGCCTGGGGCATCACGTAGGAGTACAGGTAGGCGTAGTACTACATCAAAACAAACACCAGGGGACAAGTCAATTATGTGGCTATGTGGCTATGAGACGAGATACATTTGGCTGCATGGTGTATGTTTTTTTGGGGGGGGGATGATGAGTTCAAGGTCTGACCTTATGGAAGAAAGCAGCACCGGTCAGGACCATGGAGAGCTCACAGGAGTAGTTGGAGTTGTAGAGCCAGGACTGATGGTTCACGTCCCACGCGTGGTACCTCCCGGGGAAACCCACGATGCGATCTCTGGCCTCGCGCCACACTCTGTGAGACAAAGTCAGCAGAAGTTCTCCTTTAAAAAAAACTTTTGTTTGTGGGAATTGTAGAGTGAAAAATACTGTAGAAAATATTAGTTTTTTTAAAAGGATAATTATTTTTTGTTACCAATTAGTTTGCAATAGGAAAATTAGAGAACAGAGCAATTAAAAAGTGTTTTAGTTTTGAAAATAATCGATATTGCTTTTGCCCATGCTACTTTGTTAATAAAAGAAATGGCTGATAAAGGTTTGCGGATCTCATAATATATGCCATCACTTCCTCTCAAAGACATTTAAAACATTTTTAATGCAGCTGCTACGTGATTCCCTTCATAATGAAACGTTGCTCTAATCCAGTGTATAATTCATCATTTGAAATGAATGAATTAAGACATGACTGGGCAGAATTATTAAATGTTTAATGAACTTTTAATTATTGTTGTTTGCCAATTTTTTTTAAATGGTCATTAGTTTGGTTTAAAAGTGCAGTGTTTGAACTTATCTGTCTAAAACACGTGACACATTTTTTCCTCCTGGGGTTAATTAAGTAATTATCCTCTTGTCTTTTATCAGTTTCACACTACCATAATGTAGCCCTATAGCGGCGGGAAGGTTTTGGAGATAAATCTGTGTTTCATCTTATCAGATTAGATACTTGGAATTCCTTCTGCAGACACAGACGAATCAAGAAATCTCTCAAAGCAGTCTAATGTTTTAAATGAGCTAATGTGAGGCCACTTAAGTGTAAAGACAGTCAGCTGCTGCGTAATGTTTCCTCTTTGGAGAAAGTTTAGCTGAGGAAACATTCCTGGGTAATTCTGGGGAAGTTTGAGATGTTTCATGACGAATGACCCGCTACACACACATACCATGTATACATCACTTCAGGGGACATTACATTGACTTACATGCATTTCCTGGAGACTTATCCTAACCTTAACCAACACATGCCTAACCCTAAGCCTTACCAAGTCTTCACCCTAAAATTAATGATTCCCCCATTTTGTCCCCATAAGGGAGGCGAGTCCCCACACGTGACTGTGTGAACAGATTTAGGTCCCCACAAGCAAGCAAGCACANCACTAGAGGTATATCGCCTCATAAGTTCAGTTATAAGTTAGCGAAATCAATTGAAGAGATGAGCTGCCAACACTCACAAGCATCATGTACCTACATTTGATTGATTTCGCTAACTTATAACTGAACTTATGAGGCGATATACCTCTAGTGAGTGACCCAGCCCTTTGTTTATTTTTCTGTATGTGGCCCTCGGTGAAAAAAGTTTGGACACCCCTGATTTAGACAATGAAAGACAAAGGCATGACACGTTTTGATAGCTAGCTGTTTTTACTAGCAAAGCAAAAAGCTGTTGAGCTAATCAGCTCCCTAATCAGTTTTAAAACTCCACCTCTGGCTGACTTTTAAATTTTACAAGCTGATCCATTTTAGTCTTAAACAATTTCTTTATTTATAATAATAATTCATGATATTTATTTAGTGCTTTTCCAAGTGCTCAAAGTGCTTTAAATTACAGTATATTACATTTTACTGTCCTGCCCAAGTGTTATGGTGTTGTCTTAAAAGACTGAGGCTTATGCTGATGGGTCCCAATCAAAAAGATGGCCTCCTCAACTCATGCTCGTCCATGAAACTAATAAATGGCATTTTTATTTTATTTTGTAGTGTATTGTAGATAATCCTAATGAGTGTTTTTGTTATCCTACATTGCACCATCCCCTCCTACAGCAGCATTGTGCTGTGAAATACTGCCTACACATATGACTATACTGTCTCTTTGTCCATCTTTAGGTGACGTCACGTTGGACTTTCCGCTGTCCCGGCTGCCCTCAGGCCCTTTCACACGACGACTCCCATTTCCACGAACGCCACAAGTGCATCAACTTCTTCGTCAAAGTGTACGGCTACATGCCGCTGCTGTACACACAGTTTCGCGTGGACTCGGTGCTGTTTAAGACTCGTTTGCCCCACGACAAGACCAAGTGCTTTAAGTTCATATAGCACCGGGCTGAGTGGCCCAGCAAAGAGCCAAAAGCAGAGAGGGCTGAAGGACTGGAAGCTCCCTCTGCACGCAGTGATGAAGATGGATGGACTGCCAGATAAATGCACAAAGGAAAAGTTGGTGGTGAGGATATTGCCCAGGGGGGGAGACAAGACCTTTAAAGCTGTTGGCTGGGTGGTCTAATCCACAACTTTACTGGAAATGTGAAGAGTGGAAGCTGAAAGGGACGACTGCCAAGAAAATGAGCCTTTTCAGTGGATGTCACTCTTCCCTTTTCATGTTCTTCAATCACGCTCAATCATCAACCACTACAGATGTCATTTGCACCTCTTAACGGTCGCCGAGGAAAGAGGACGGTTGTTCATTAACTCTACCTTACAATGGAGCTGTAGCTGCTTCACTGACGGACTGATGTCGTGCTGCGCTCGCCAGCCGCCTGTCGCCAGCTTCAGCTGGGAGGGCATCAGCAGCACACGGCTGACACTTCGATTGTTTTTAATTTTCACACTAACAAACTACTTGTTGTACGCAAGACGAGCACTGAGGGTCAGAGGTATTTTATTGGAAAATCTTCTTTTAAATCTAAATGTGTAAATCTTTTTTGATGGACAAACTTTTTCCAGATCCTCCACCTGTTGGAGATCAGACACAAACTCATTGGTTCGAGAAGGAAACAGGACCTCGACTGAAGACTTTGGCCCAATCATGTTTAGTATTGTCACATGTTCAGAAGGAATTCACTTCAGCGGTCACCATAATGCCTCAAATCTGTCATGGAAACCAGCCACCATCTTGTTATTTTGTTATGCTTATAGGATCTGCACTCTTCGACGAGTGTTTGAAAATGGCCTGTTTTTTATGCTATAGGGTGTTGAATAATGTTTGTAAAACTGGTCTGAGATTCAAGTATTCATGTTTTAAATGTAATAATAATAACAACCAGCCAATGGTTACAATGTCCCTTACTGAAGTGCAACCAAGTCATGAATCACTGCTGCCAAAATCAGAAAATGAAAATGTTTGGATGTCTAATTAAAGTTGTAATTGTAAAGAAGGATACATTTAACACAATTAGGATAATATACAAATGAATCAAAAAGATTACAGGGAGTAGCTTGACGTTTTAGGAAATACAATTATTTGCTTTCATGTGCAGAGTTAGATATTTACAGCTCTGAAATCTGTCAACTTAGCCTAGCTTATATTAGCATAAAGAATGGAAACTGGTTGAAAAACAACTAGCCTGTCTCTGTCCTTAACTCGTACCAAAATCTGCCTCTCAGTATCTTTGAAGCGCACTTACTAATGTTGTGTGTTGAATCCAAACAAAGCATAAGGTGTAAACATGACAAGCTGTTTCCAGCTGTTTTTTTTGCTAAGCTAACCGGCAACAGGCTAAAGTAAGCCTTATATTGAATGAATAGATAGTATCATCTTACTCTCCACCAGACCGTAAATAAGCATGTTTTCCAACATTTCAAACTACTCTCTTTAATATATTTCCAGTTATAGCGCTGCGACAGATGTAATAGAAATGTCCCGCCATGTCCATGCCTCCTGTATAGATCGCTCCCGGCTCAGACAGAAACGTCACTTTAGTGTCGCCATATTGGTTCCACTTTGTTTGTTTTTTACCATTGCTTGATGAATGTTTTCTTTGCCAAATAGGTACGATGTCTGCTGCTTCAGAGCATTGTTTCGGGTGCAGCGTGTGAGTGGTTGCAGTCTGGTACATCCATTTCCACTCTGCATGGTACTTACGTTCAGAAGGCGATCCATTGGAGCCCTTTCCATCATGTATTATAAATCCAAAATCCTTTATTTGATCAGACTTTAATTGTGCAATCTGAACAAAACATTAACCTAAAAACATACCTTTTTTAAAAAACAAATTAATGATGCTTTCCCCCCAAATAAGATTATAACTGTGAGGATACTTTTATGAAACAGAAACTCTCACAAGTCCATGGTTCCTGTATATTTATTGAATATATTATTAAAAAAGATTTTTTTAAACTGATGACACATTCAATAAAATAACAAAACATTGTAGTTCATTATTCCTTATTCCTTATCCTTAAGAAGTCCCAACAGGACTTAGCCGTATATCTTTATTACATTACCAAGGAAAACTAGCTTGTGCCACTAAATGCTTGAGGGGGAACCTAACAGACCTGAGAGCAGCACTCGGGCAGGAAAGTGTTTTATGGACGTCAAGATGTCCTGGTTCTTGAGAAGGTCAACTTGAAACAGAATGTCATAAAATGAAAAGAAGCTTCTGGCACAGTCATAAAGTGTCTTTGAAGCCAAATCTCTACCTGCTCCAGGTGGCTGCTGCTGCTGCTGCTGCCGCTGCCTCAAAACCATTACATTAGGCATGTTAGGTAAACAGGGTAACGAGCCAGATTCCTAATTACACAAGTCTAAAATGGAAATGTGCACTCGTGCTGCACCAGACTTTAAAAACCAGCCTGTCTTCTCACCTGAACGCTTTTATTGCAGCTCCTAGGGGCCTCATAATTACATGTCCTGGGGCATAAATGGGATTAGATGGTATTTTTTTGGAAGTCAGTACCTCCCCCCTCTCCTCTAGGATATGTGGCACAGCTGGTTTTCCATGGCCCGGGGCAGGATACTTTCCCCCCTGAAGGCTGCGGTCCCTCTGCTGGGTGTTGGGTGAAACTATGTGTGATCCAGGGTGAGGGTCCGCCTCCAGCCCCCTGCAGCGCTGCCTGAGCTGTGATGACAGCGTCAGACATACCATTGAAGGCCAGATTAATGGAAATAAAAACATTGTTAAAACAGTTTCTGACGTATAGCCTCGTTCTTTTCTTAACTTTTACAAAACACACTCCTGCACGTTGAGTATTTGATATGTCCTAAAGATAGGAAGAGGGAATCCGAGTTTTCTTTAAAATAAATTGTTTGGTAATAATGTTTAAATCCCCCCAGTTTCTTTGATGAAAGGATTGATACCACTGTCTGGTCTGGGTAGTAAAAATGAAACTGCCTAGCCCTAGCTTATAGCTACTGAGATAAGTCATTTTAAGAAGCTATCTCATAATTTTTAAAGTATTTTTTTGGGCAGAAATGGGCTTACATAGTTAACTTAATGCTAAATAACCCAGCTGCTGTCTGTAAGCAAACTATAAGCTTCATACTGGCATGAGATTGGTCAGTCGTTTCCCAAAAAGTGGAACTAAAGGGTTGTAAATGCTGGTAATGCACAAATTGTGCTTAGAACAAAATGCCATTCTAATGAAAACACTCCAGTGGCTGTGATTCCCATCTGCAATCAAAAGCCATTTGTTTATCTCTCAGGAATGCTACACATCTGGTGTGTATCTTATAATGAATTAAATTGAACATGTGGCTCTGCAGGAACTGTCAGAGCGAAGTGTAGCTGCAGGGCCCCGAGCCCAGAGGACGGGGTCAGGTCTGACATCACTGAGACGAGAAAAATGCATCCCACACCCCTCAGCTTCAGCCAGAGGAGAGAAGAGGGAGGGCTTCAGCATGAAACTCGGGGTGTGGCTGTGGAGTCTGCACTGATGTTTTTTGGGGGGATTTTCTGACTCATAGCTAATGAAATTGGCTTTGTTCCAGATGCATGTAAAACCAGATTCCTCACACTCCTGCACAGTGTTTTAATTGATTTCCGCCTTTATTTAATTATCCTTCTCCTATTCCCTTGTAATCAGAAAATGTTCCTTTTTAATGTAATTTCATTCTGCCACTCCGGCTCACTTCACTGCTGTCAGCGGCAGAGAAGCAGCCAGGTTTATTGGACTGCGCAGGCTTTTGCATATCCCTCCTCAGCGGGAAGCACCATGTTTCTACATGAATGAACATGGCTGAGTTGTCAGAAGGCTGAATGGTGAAACAGGCTCAATCTGTACTACACAGGAAAGGAAGCTGCTCTTTGATACAGTGGCATGCAGGGCTGTGTCCAATTCTGAAAGAGACTCAGCGAGCAGAAGACAGAATTTCACTCCTCCAGCTTAAAGTGGAGTTGGATGCATAGTGTAGCGAGTTATGCAACACCAAAAATAAATCAAATAATAAAGTGTCTTTGTGTAGCACAAACCCCAGACACACACATACATCTAGTAAACCATTTGAGTGATAATCCAAAAGCCATAAAAGAGGGGAAATGATAACTGGATCTTGCATAATGTCATGTGCATGTAAACAATCTGTACAAAGCATAGCTTGTAAGCATAGTTGCAGCATGTTGTAGGCCCTTTTGTAACAGTCTTTTCGTTGCCTTCTCTTTTGTCAATGGCTATGACTGATAGAGAAATGTCTGGTATGCTGGTGGTAGCTTAAATCCAGAGAAGAAGAACAAGAGACAGGGAGGAGTCTGCTGGTCATGGACCGAGCTCTTTGGTCCAAGATTCAGAGACAGAAAAATGTGTCCTGTAAACAGTTTCATGCAGACCTTGCTGTAGGAAGAATTACTGAAAAAAAAACACTCTTTCTTTTAAGTTCAGTAATGATAATGTAATTCGTTCTCAGTCTGTCTGCCTCTGCATTTTTCTCTGTCAATAAAAGGCTGGCGCTGAAGCTTCCACCTCCGCCAATAAAAGTCTGTGGCAGATTAAAGGGTGTTCATGCAGTCTCTGGCAGTGAAACCCTACACACCTGTACGCAGCGCACACACATCCCTCCTGGTGCTTCTGCTACCCCCCCCCTGAAACTCTGGGAATGGTGTAAAATCTCAGTCTTCTTGAATCTTCCGCCCCCTATGTGTTGGTCAGTGTGTGCCAGTGGCAGACCTGCTGCCCCTCCGCCTCCTTCATCTCTGTCCAGTGGGCCTGCTGGTCCTCGCTGGTGCTGTTGAGGCCGAGGGAGACGCAGCCCAGCCGCTCCCTGGGCCTCATGCTGCTCCGCCGGCAGAACACCGACAGCACCAGAGACACCTCGGACAGCTGGAAGAGCGCCACCTGGAACAGGAAGGTCTCCTTGTAGGTGGGGTTGGGCTGCCCGCGGCACACTGCAGTCTTACACTTGGACATCTCCTTCCCCTTGGAGTCCAGCATGGTCAGCTTCACGTAGGTGTCTGAAAGAGAGCGGGCAGAGAGAGCCATCCAGTGGAGGGATATCAGTACTGCAACAAACTGAGGCAGAGGGTTTAAATATTGATTTAATATCTTGTGATTTAATCGAGAGTTTTCAAAGTGGAAGATAGGTCTCCACAGGGGGTCTCCAGACAGTGTCAGATAAGCAAAAATATTACATAAGCTATCCAAAAATAATCGAAATTACCCTAAATGTGATTAGGTTTAAGAGATAACCCAGAGATAGATCCGTTTTGGGGAAGTTTCTCCCACCTTCCAAGGATCAGAAACTCGTAAATTACCTTTTTTTTTATGTATGACATGTAGTGTAGATAATTCAAACAGCAATATTAGGCTGTTATGCCTCAATTGCTGAGTATGTATCGGGTCCAATAACATAGTCATGATCCCATAGGCAACCAGAAATGTAGTTAAGAAGTAAGCTCTGGATGGGTGAGGAGGTTTCTTTTTCCAAGCTTTGCCTGAGGGGAGGTCTCATACTTTGAAAAGCCCTGCTATAATCAAAAGTCAGTGACATAATGTATTATTTTTTTTTAAATGGTCGGTTTAAATATATATTTATCAATTACCCATGTTGGTACCTATGAAGACAGAGTTAACTTTATTTGCCAGATTGTTTAGATATCTCTGTCCATTTCTATTGTGGTGCATACAGCATTAACAGTAACATTTTAAACAAATCCACATTCCTTTCCTTTCAAAATGATTGTCCTTGTTACTCTAACAATCAACATATATCACTGTGGAGTCCTTAAACCTTTTTAGAACAAAACCTGAGCATATACCGTTCACATATGTCTAACCATGATGTCTAACTACAAGTGATTCACTGCTGACTTACCTCTCATGACATAAAGCTGCCCCCCAACAAAGTGTTTAACACAACAGAACAGACCGTCTGTGGCACACACACCACGGCACACACAGGAAGAAGGAAGAAAGAGAGGAAACAGTTTAAAGATCGAGATACACCACAAGGTCAGCTTCCTGGGAACTCTGACACACAGCGATTGTTTCAGCATTATGGCGTTAAGCACTTTGGTTCTTAAAAAGCAGTTGTTGTTGTTGCCAGGAAACATTATAAAATGTAATGGTGGTAATTAGTTTTTTTTAACATGCTGCTGGGAGCCTTGCCCATCTGCTTTGCCAAACAATTGCTGAGTGTGATCTGCACACTTAGAGGAAGCAACATTACATTTTAAAGAAAGGAAGTTGTCACAGAGTAAAAAGGTTTAACGTGGAAGCTTTTGTACGTACTGACGGGTTTTTCCGACGCCGGGGTTTTGAAGTGGCTTCCCTGGACGACCTCAGCAGATAACTGTCCCGTGACAGAGTTGTAGAGCAGACCCAGAAGGAGCTCCGGCAGGGAGGAGTCTTCAGTGGAGCGATAGGACAGAGCTCCTGCGCTGCGAGACACACTCACCACAGAGCCACAACCCTGGTATCATGAAACACACACACACACACACACACACACACACACACACACACACACACACACACACACACACACACACACACACACACACACACACACACACACACACACACACACACACACACACACACACACACACACACACACACACACACAGAAGGCATCAGTGGGATATTTTACAGTATGTTAAAGTAAGTCTTCTTTCATTTGGAGTTTCAACCAGGCCAACAAATTACATTAAGAACCTTTTAGCCGAATGAGCAGCTTCGTTCTAGTAACGGAGGTCAGGCGTTCCAACACTTTCATTCACACAGAAATACCGAGATTTATTACCATGACAGTTTTGTACAGAATTTGCTTCTAAACCCTACAGATTTTTGTAATCCTCTAATTGTGCTTCTCGTGCCACCATTTGGGGCTTTAAATAACATTTCTACAGATAATTATTGGATAAACTATCATGACATTTGGTACAGATCTCTTCAGAATTAATCGCAAAAAATGATTACATTTATCTCTGTCACCTTGACCCAGTCCTTAATTGACTGTCTCTATCGTTGACATTCTGGGTAAAGGAGTCATCGCAGTGAAATGTAGCAATGAAATGAAGCCCCTAATCTTTAACACAAGAACTGAACCTTGTTTAAATAATGAGAAGACTCATTTACAACGTATGATTAGTTGACTAATAAATGTAGAAACAGCAACTATTTTGATCACGTAAAAATGCCCAATATTGGTTGGTTCCACTCCCTCCTCCTCCTGCTTGTCTTACATGATGTTATATTGATTGTTAATCGGACTGTTGGTGGAACAAAAAACATCTAAAGACGTCACATTGGGCTGTTAGAAAATCCAATAGGTATTTTTCACAGTTTCATCATTTTATAGATCCAAAAATGAATTGACTAATGAGAAAAAAAAAAAAAAAAAGCAATATATTCTCAGGTCTTCAGTTGGGATGTTCGTTGTCAAACTAAATCCCAGTGCTTCAGATGAAACTGTGCCTGGATAGAAATGTACAAAGTGTTCTCACCGTGAGCTCAGAGCCCTGCTCCAGGGTGACAGGCAGCGCGATCTTCCCCTGCAGGTTGAGCTTAGTCAGGTAGAACACCTTCTCTCCCAGGACCTTCTCCTTTTTCATCCTCCTGATGCTGTACAGGCGGAAGCGCACGGCGTAGTCCCCGAGGGCGTCCTGCTCCACCCTGGAGAACTTAAATGTTTCCGTGAAGATGGGACACGGCCCCTTCTGCACGCCCGTCTTGGCTCGCTGCTTCTTGGTGGGCAGCAGGACGAGGTGGACCTGCCAGGCGATGTTTCCCGTCTGTTTCAGAGCGGGGATGTCTGTCGCCGCGGTGACCGTGACGGCCAACCACTGCTCCCCGGAGTCGTACTCGAAGGCCACGTCCAGGGTGCCGTATTTGGCGAATGGCTCCGGCTCGTAGGCGGTGGGGAGGTGAGGACCGGAGCCGTCCTGAGCGAATGAGAGAATCAGTATTAAAGACACGGTTAGAATAAAAGAGGAGGGAATCTGAAGTGTTAAGAGGCACCTTGGTTATCATCCTCCTCTTCCTGAACAGTATAAGGTCAGATAATATACTTCCTGTCTGTCACTCAAATATTTTTAGATAAGAGGTGAGATAACATTGTCACAAGAGAGACTCAAACTATTTTTGATACTGTTTTTCTGTTTAAGGCTTGTAGGTTTTTATGGGTTTCCTCTATAATAAATAAAAAGAAAAGACGGATCTGACATATTTTTCTCCCACATTCAAAAGCTCTTGTGTTCCCTGATGCAAAACATATGAGTTCAGCACTGTTTGCGAGAAGTAGAGGTCAGAAAAAGTTTTTGGCAATATAAAGGAAGTAAAAAAACAGAGAAATTAACCTTGAACGCCCCTCACGTTAAATAGTAAAAACAATTAAGATAAGGAGCAAATTTGGGGATTTTTTGTCCTACAAGAATCTGTTTTTAGCTGTTTTTTATTTTCTAAATAATAACCCTAAACAAGTTTCAAGATGCACTTCTGAAAGATATGAAATATATAATGATACTTAGGAGCCAGATTTGACACTAAGCTATTCTGTGGAAACATGCTGGTGCATCCCTCATGCCCCGTCTCCTTATGTTGAGATGACCTGAACTGTAACCTAAGTAACATTTTAACAGTAAACAAACCATGTAATTACAGTAGTGGTCTTAACATAAATATGTTATAAGCTGGCAATAAGGAGGGCTTTTAACACTTCAGTCATGGTGAACCACAGGGCAGGTAAAGGGGTAAATATACAATATATTACTACCATTAAAAGAGGTGTAATGTGCTGCTTAAAGGTCCCGTATTATACTGTTTCTCATCAATATATTATAGGTCTCAGATATATACAGAACATTTCTCTGAAGTGTTTGGCTCCAAATACCAAACAGATCATTGCAGCATTACCCATAATCCCCTCTGTTTCAGCCCTGTTTCCATCCTCTGTCTGTTACTTTAGATGGAAATAAGGAGCCCCTCCCCATGCCCCTCTGAGAGAGATTTGGTTACAAAGAACACAATGGT